TCTGCTACAGCCCAGTGCTCCCCAGTGCAATTTGTTGGGTTCAGACTGGTCAGTGACTGTCCACTGGTGTGTCCTGAGGCATGAGGATTGCTAATGAAATATTTCTTCCCTGTACATGATTAAGGGTTGCAGTATTTTAAATGTGACCACCAGAGGTCTGTTTTCCTGTTCCTGTCCTCCCTGACACAGAACTGCAATATCACCACATACCCCTGCAACTCGTACAGGAACTACAGGAATGGCAAATGCACCAGCTGTGAACCCTTCTGGCCCATGCCATGCCCCATCCTAGGTAAGGATCCAGGGAATGTCCATCCATCCTCAATACTGAGCTGCCTGTTGGCACTTAACTCAGAGGGTGATGTTTTGCTGGAGGACTAACATGACATGGTGCTTTGCAAAAGCATCAAAGTTATTTCACTGAGGTGTTTGAGGCATCTCAGGCCTGCTCCTTGTAATATCACATCATGGTATGATTTAGAACAGAAATCCACAGGTAAAGGATCCAGAACTAGGAAAGCCAAAACTAGACTTGGGATCTTTACACTAAAGTCAGAGAAACAGTGAATTTAACTCCCTCAGTTGCAGAGTTTGGGGGACAGGGGCCTGTTCTTGCTAAAATAAGATTTACAAGTAAATTCCCAGCACCACAAATCCCTCTGTGCTCTAAAAGGAATGGCAAATGGGTGAACAAAGGGAATTCCTGGACTTGTCTGCCCCAGCCTGGGTGTGACAGCCCAACCTCAGGCTGGCAGCTCTGAAATGTTGATGCTGAAACACCTGACACTTCCAGAAAGGAACTGGCAAAGCCAAGGGGATGATTTTCATTCTGCACTGCAAAATGAAACCCTTGACCATGGATAACAGATGTGGAAAAATATCAGCTTGAAGAAAGTGCTGAACAGTAACCAGGCATATTCAGTGCTAAGCCTCTGGAGTACAGGAGGATGGGTGTCAGTGCTACTTGGCAGCTGGAAGACAATGCACTATTTCTTAAATACTTGCTTATTTTCAGCCATTTAGTGGCTCATCTACCTGTGCAGTAACTTGGTTTCATTTTCAAACTGTCATCTGCAGGTTATTATGCCTATGAGTGGAAAAGCTATTTAACACAACAGAGCCATCCAGTGACAAGTATGTTTTTCGACACGGCGGACAAAGGGCCATTTTGCAGTAAGTGACTGAGATTTCTGAGATTATTTTTCTTTGTGCATTGCCTCTGTCAGCAGCAGCCAAGCAGAGATAGTTATTTGCTGGTGGTGTTACAGCCAGCATTTTAGAAACTCCAGTTGCTGCTGGATGGAATTGTGTCCATCTGTGGTTTGCCAAAATCTTCTTTTATCTGCCAACCTGTCCAGTGCTGGGAAAGCCAACTTGCTTCTAGGAAACTGGTTGAGAACTTTCAAATTAAGTATAAAAGTTCCCAAATCATGTTTCAAAGCAACACACCATTCTTTTGTCAAACTAAGAGGTGTGTGGGAACAGTAAGAGAGAAAGGCAGGTTGTACAGGTGAAAAAGCTACCCCAGAGAAAAATAAGAGGTGCAGGGAGAGGAAGAGAATCTGTGGAAAAAGGTTTCACCAAGGTGAAAAGTTTCATCTCATCCCTGTGACTACCAACATACCAGGGCATGGGCTGGGATTATGGCCTGAGCTCCAGTGCTGGTCAGCAAGTGAATTCAGACTGACAGATCAAAGAACAGAAAATTCTGCTCTGTGACAGAGATGACAAATACAAAGAACAGAAATGGAGGGGTTCAGAGGGGGATCAAAGAAAGAAATACAGTCTGGAAGTGAAGGGGGAAGGCAGGCAGTGAAAGGCAGCGTGCTGGGAACCACACAGAGACCATCCTGCATGGATAACCCTTGCTGCAGTGCTCTCCTGACACCTCCTAGTGTTTCTGGTTGAAATCTCTGCAAAGAGAGATGGAGAGAAGGGAGGAGAGAGGGATTTTCCAGATGAACTGCAGGGGCTGTGTCCATGCTGTACCCACAGCTCTGCTCCCAGACAGTGCCCAGCCTGGACAGCAGACTGAGCCCACAGGGTCTAACTGCACTCACTCTCTCTCCCCTCAGTCTATCACTACCTGGTGGATATTATCACATGGAACAGAGACACCAGGAGAGGCACCTTCAGCATCATGCTAGCTGACCAAGATGGGAGGAAGGCAGAATCAAAAGTTAATCCGTAAGTTTTACTAGTCTGAGCTTTTCTAAGTGTTAGTGCATCCCTTGGTACAACTGCATCTGGGAGGAGGTGACACAATTTCACAATTTCACAATTTCTCTGCTGATACTTGCTAGTGCACACGTGATTTATTGGCCCTAAGGGATTTCCACAGCCTCCCCCAGCACACAGCCCTGACAGCCCAGCCTTTTGGTTTGGGCCCTTCTCTGTCATCTTAAGGACTGAAGTGTACAATCTCAGCCAGCAGCACAGCTGCCCTAGGCTTCCACTAAAGCAGAAAGAAAATATCTCCCCCCTTTTCCTTCCTCTCACAGGGTGTGTTCTGTTCTAGTTCCCAGTGCCCAAGACAGCTGGGGATTAACCTGGGCCTGAATATGTCACATCCAAAATCAATTCATTCCACTCAGAGAGACAAATTAATGGTGTTTATGTGACATGCAAATTCCTGAGTGATCAGAATTACACTTCAGCCAAACAAACCTGCACAACTAGTTTTCCCAAGTTTCTCTAAGTGCACATTCCCTCAGGCATATCTGATATCTGCTTGCACTGGAGCAATCAGCATTGATCCCACACCAAGGCCAGAGCAGATTTCATGCATATCTCAAAGTGACTCCGTGTTCAGGCCTGCACAGACAGCCAGGCACAAATATCACATGGGCCCAGTCCACTTGGGATCAAAGCAGAATCACAGCAAAAATTCTGGTTTGGGACCACATGGCATCCAACCTCTGTGTCCCCACTTCCACCCCAAAAACCTGAGGGCAGAAGTGGCTGAGCAGGTTGACACCAGGAGACCCGAATCCATACCCATTTCCTGTAAATCAGAAACTGATCACAAGCTCAGGCCGCCTCCCCCAGCCTGTTTCTAATATTACAGTGACTACATTAAACCCAGTGCTATTCCCTTGGTGACTCTCTGACACTCTCTCTTGTCTTCTTCACCTTTAGAGAAGCTGCCACCTTCCAGAAGTACAAACAAATCACTTTGCTCATTGGGTTTGACCAGGATCTTGAAAATGTGGAAAGAATTTCCTTGACATTTTCCACGGGATCTGTCATTGGCCCAAAATTCAAACTCAGGATTCTCCAAATGAGGTTCCACTCACTGACAAACCCAGAAAGGTGAGCAGATATTTACAAACCATTTCTGTTGGTGCAGACTGGACAGAAGTAAAGGAATCTCCCAGATTCCTGGCCTGGCTGAGTACGTGCAGAAGAATTAGATTTATTTGACATTTAGTAATTCACATACACATATCTTGGGAATAATTTCCCCTTTAATGGAATCCCACAGCTGAATACTTACTCGAACACAGGGGCTGTCTTATTGCACTGGGAGCATGTCATGTGTGATGTGACTCTGACGTGGCCTGACACCTCAACCTTTGGTCAGGAAAATTACCTTTGGGAAGCTGCCCAGGCCTGAGCTCTAGGATGGAGGGAAATGCAGAACTCTGGGAAGAACAGATGTTCAGCCCCAAATACACATTTTATATCCCAGTCAAATTGTATGGCTAGTGAAGCAGGGAGATTAATTTACTCCTGGAATTCCAGCAAGTGGGAGCTGCTGGCTGCTTTGCCCCAAAGCCCTGGCTGGTACCCACAACATCAGGGCTGCCTCTCAAGCATTGCTGATGGGATTTCTATCACCTCATTAGCCTCTGTCTGCTCTGCTGTCCTACCCCTAAGCTTCCCACCTCTGGAGGTTTGGAGCTCTGCCTGAGCTCAGCAAGCACAGAATCTGTTACCCTGCCCCTGTGTGCAAGGGCACTGTGGACACCACAGCATGCTCTGAGTTTGGCTTAAAACAAGGCTGGAAGATCACAGGCTCAGGAGGGTGAAGCAAACAGACATACAGAGCTGCAGAACATGTCTCTTTGCATTTCATGAGGTCTGCTACCCTTATCCTAGCCTTGGAACAAGGAAAAGATTGTGTACATCTACTAAACAATGTCCTGCAGCTCTCCCCTTGCTGCCACCTCGTCTCCTGTCCCACACCTCCACAGTCACTTCCAGTCCCAGATACACATTTAGTCGTTTAAAAAGCAGACACAAATGCCCCCATATTTAATCACAGGATGCTGTCTCTCCCCAATGAGGGGCTGCCACAGGCCATAAACACAGTTCAGGACTTTCAACACATCATCTAATCAGTCATTGCCACAGGGAGGGATGTCCTGCCCTCTCCCCTTCCCTGTTGCTCAACCTACTACACAGGGCTAATGTTCATATTTCCCTAGTGAAAGCCCAAGTATTTCCTCAGTTCTTTTGGCTGGACTAGGTCCAGACCAGATCTGTGTTTGGACCCTGGTTAGGGCAGTGGCAGAATTTCTCATGCCTGGAGCAGGAAAGGGGCAGAACAGGCAGGTGGGTAGAAGGACCTCCTTGTTTTATGGACTGGATTAAAGGGAACCATGGACTCTGCAGCCAGTGCCCGTCTGTTTGCCGGATTTTTTGTGATCCTTTTTTTCCACAAGCAAAAGATAACATAGAACAGAATGGTAAAATGCTCAAGGTATCCCTGGCTTAAAGCCAACCTCCCTTCAGGTGGACTTGGAGCCAGTTCTCTTGAGAAGATGACTTATTTTATGTAGGCCTGCAGCAGGTGGGGAGATGACAGAAAAAAACACCGTTTTTTTTCACTTTTGGCCGTGTTTTCACACAGACCCCAGCTGTGCCGGTACGACCTGGTCCTGACTGAGAACACCCAGAAAACCTTCAAGCCCATCCCATGCTGAAGCAGGAGCTGAGTCCCGAGGACGCTGTGCCCGGACAGGGCAGAGACATTTCCCCGCCGTGTGGGGACTCACCTGGTGGGGCCCGGGCGCCTTCTGAGGGGACCGAGCAGCGGGACCGCTCTCCACGCAGTGTACAAACGGGCTAGGGGAGTGACAATAAAACCATGGCGGCACACGGCTTTAAAGCGTGGCTTTAAAAGGGGGGCTCAAAGCGAGGGTTTCAAACGGGAATTTAAAGCGTGTATGCGCGGCGTGGAGCCCACATGAGCAGCAGGCTCCAGCCAGCTCCACAAATACCCCGCAGCCCCCTCACGCCCACGCCCACCATCGCTGCCCAGAGGCCCCGCCCCTTACTGAGGCCCCGCCCCGCGCCTGCGCAGCCGCTCGGGGCGCCGAGGGCGGCAGGCCCGGGCCGGGAGGGGCCGGGTTCGCTCCGCTCGGCTCGGCTCGGCTCGGCTCGGCTCCGCTCCGCTCCGTCCGACAGCGGCGGCCCCGACCCGGGATGTGGCGGCGCCCGGCTGGGCTCCTGCTCGTCTTCGTGGCCGCCACGGCCGCGCTGTGGCTGCTGTCGGTGCGGCTGAGCGCGGGGCAGACACGCAGGTAGGTGTGGGCGGCCGGCGCTGCCCGTGGGTCCCTCCCTTCCCCCGGCGCTGCCCGTGCGTCTCTCCCCTCGCAGGGCGCTGCGGTTCCCGGCGGACCTGGAGGAGCTGCGGGATCTGGCCGAGGCGCTGCGGGACTACGAGCGACAGCACCGGGGCGCGGCGCTGGCCCTGTTCTGCTGCGCGTACCTGTACAAGCAGAGTTTCGCCATTCCCGGCTCCAGCCTCCTGGTACGGGCGGGCGGCGCGGGGCGAGGGGCCGGGGACTCACGGATCGGGCAGGAGGAGCCGGAGGGACCGAGCGGGCCCGCACCTGAGCAGGAGTAACCCTTAGTAGCAGCACGGGTCGGGGCTGACATGCTGGAGAGCAGCTCTGCTGGGAAGGATCGGGGAGTGTTGGTGGATAATGAATGTGTCCTGAGGGCCAGGAAGGGCAGTGAGATCCTGCATTGCCAGCAGGTCAGGGGGTGATCCTGCCCCTCTGCTCAGCCCTGTGAGGCACAGCTGGAGTGCCAGGTCCAGATCTGGGCTCCTCAGGAATATGGAGACAAGGAGGAGAGGGTCCAGTGGAGGCCACAAAGAGGTGCAGGTGGAGCATCTCTCTGATGAGAGATGGTTAGTCTGGAGAATACTGAGAGGGGATCTCATTAATGCATATAAATATCTTCAAGGGATGTCAGAGGATGGTGCCAGACTGTTCAGTGGTGCCCAGCAACAGGACAAGGAGCAATGGCCATAAACTAAAACACAAGAAGTTTCACCTCAATATGAGGAAGGACTTCCTTCCATGGAGGATGGGAGAGCTCTGTGAACAGCTGTCCAAGGGAGGGCAAAGTCTTCTCTGGCGGCATCCCAAACCCACCTGTTCCTGTGTCACCTGCTCTAGGTGACCCAGCCTTGGCAGGGCATTTGGACTGGATCATTTCCAGAGGCCCTTTCCAACCCTAACAATTCTGTGGTTCTGTGACACACCGTGTCCCCCAGGCCTCACTCCATGTTGTCCCCACAGAATGTCCTGGCTGGAGCACTCTTTGGACCATGGATGGGGCTGGTGCTGTGCTCAGTGCTCACGTCTGTGGGAGCCACCTTCTGCTACCTGCTCTCTGCAGCTTTTGGCAAGCAGCTCATAGTGCACTTCTTCCCTGAGAAGGTGGCTCTGCTGCAAGGGAAGGTAAGAGCTGGCAGTTCTGCTGACACCCATGATGGCCCTGGGCCAGGCTGCTCTTGGGGTGACAGTGAAAGCCAGTGTGTGCAGGGGATGCACCAGGCCTGCTGAGGGCACAGTCTAGGAGCAGGCTGCCCTCTTGGAGCAAGCCTGTTGGCAGAGGGGCTGCCAGGAAAATCCTGGATCCTAAGGAAAAGCAGATATGAAATAAAGGAGGATTTGGGAAGCCTCTGTGCTCCAGAACTGCCTCTATCCATCCCATGCTGTGTTGTACACTAGAGCTGGTTCTGCTCTTGACTTCCTGATCTTTCATTCCGGTGAGATCCCATTTCCACCCTGCTTTGAAGAGGGCTGGCTCACCATTAGGCTCCATACAGACACAGTATTGCTGCTTTCCCTCAGTTCTGAACTGATGGTACACGTCATGGTACACAGTGAATTTTTCTTTTAACATGGTGGAATGTTAGAAGAAAAATTCACTCCAGTATTGTGGCCATTTGAATGTTACTGCTGTTTGAGGAGCAGGAATGATATGGAACATTTCTTTTGGCAGGTAGAAGAGAACAGGAGCTGCTTATTTTTCTTCTTGTTGTTCCTGAGGCTGTTCCCCATGACACCAAACTGGTTTCTGAACCTCTCGGCTCCCATTTTAAACATCCCCATGTCCCAGTTCTTTCTCTCCGTTCTCATTGGTAAGGCCTGGGGACACAGCCTGAGGGGACAGTGTGACACTGCTGCTCACAGAGCCAAGGAGGGCAGAGCTGGGACTCTGACCCTTGGTCTGTTTCCTCTGTGCTGCCCTTGAGCATTCTGGAGGTGTCACCAGTGCTGCAAATTTTGCTTTACACCTGGTTCTTTCTGTTACAAGTACAAACCCCAGTGTCTGTGTAATGGCTGTACATTAAAACACTGAGTTCTACCTCAACATGAGGAATAACTTTCCATGGAGGGTGGCAGAGCACTAGGACAGCTGCCCAGGGAGGGCATGGAGTCTCCTTCTCTGGAAATGTTCAAGATTCCCCTGGACACATTCCTGTGTTACCTGCTCTGGGTAACCCTTCCTTAGCAAGGGGACTGCATGATCTCCAGAGGTCCTTCAAACCCTAGCAGTTCTGTGATTTCTGTGTCTGACTTTGGGCATATTTAGCTAATTTTCTCTAGAGGGGAACTAACAGCTTTTTTCTGCTCTGATTCCTTCAGGCCTTACACCATACAATTTCATCTGTGTGCAGACAGGGGCCATTCTGTCCCAAATCACCTCTCTGGATGCCATCTTCTCCTGGGACACACTGCTCAAGCTGCTGGCCATGGCTGTGGCAGCGCTGATTCCAGGGACCCTCATCAAGAGATACAGCAAGAAACACCTGAAGCTGGATGGAGACAAGCAAGCTCAGACACTAAATGGCAGAAAGAGCTTGTGATGGCTTAGGTGCCCCAGTTTTGGGGTAAAAGCTGCAGGACTCTCTTCCCAGGGGTTATATTCTGCATGCTCTATGCCACCAAGGACAGTGGCAATTTTTAATCATCCTTCTCATCTCAGAGGAGGTGTCCATTCTTATTTTTAATGAATGTTTATCTGTGCATGTATCTGCACGGAGAGAGAGATACAGGGGTTTTGTGAACACTCAGTTAATTTGCCTGTTTCATTTAAATCAGTCTCCTGTGTGCCTGAGGCTGTGGGGAATAAAAGGAGTACTGGCATCCTGTGAGGAAGGCAAACCAGAACCCAGCTGTGGATCACTGGGCAAGCACAACCCTGCAGGCAGTAGGCAGGCCCTGCTCCCTGCAACTGCAGACAGATTTAGCATTTTTGGCCTGAAATGATGAGCCATGTGCTCCTGTGCAGCTGTACAAGCACCAAGTTGAAAAAATAATGGTGTTTCAGGGTGCAGCTGTAAAAGATTCTTCTTTGATTCCCATGTTAAACCAGCACACTGCAGCAAAATGCTGGCGATTGGAGCTGCCTGAATCAGTCATGTCAAAACACTTGAGACAGCTTCTCTGGTCTGCCAGTGGCTGCTACTCCCCATGGAGAATAAAGGAGGAAAGAACAGGAATGGATGTGCCTGACTGGCAGAGATTTGTCCTTGAAAAGCACCTTGAAACCCACACATTTGCTCCTGTATAACTAGGAGGATTCCAAATAAAGAGGTGGGCTCTGTCCCAGCTGTGGAGAACATAGGATACCAGAATGGTTTGGGTTGGAAGGGATCCTAAAGCCCATCTTGTTTCACCCCCTGTCATGGGCAGGGACACTTCCAGTATCCCAGGTTGCTCTAAGCCTCATGCAGCCCGGCCTGGGACACTTCCAGGGATCCAGGGGCAGCCTCAGCTTCTCTGGGCAACCTGTGCCAGGACCTCACCACCCTCCTCCCCCTGGGATGATACTCTGCTCTTGGGGTTTAGGTATTTGCTCTCCATAAGGAGATCCACTTGGATGATAAAGTAACCTTCCTGGTATGGAAGGGGGCAGATGGGAGACCCCAGAGCTTCGTGACATCATCCCTAAGTCCATGAGAACCCATTCCCAGATCACCAAACCAGCCTACAGCATTGAAGTACACTGGCTTTTTATTCCATGCATTGTTTGCTTTGATAGTCATTCTTGTTTCCATCACTGTACACTGGTCAATACAAAAAAAAATCAAGTTTGTCTCAGGAATCCACAGAGCAGGGAGGAGGGGATGAACACTACTGGACAGGGCCAAGATGAAATGGGTACTTAACACGACAGTGGGGAGGGCAACATTCAGCTCTGGGAGAAAATCTAGGCTAGTGTTCAGGAGCTGTCAGCAGCCACGAGAACGGGATCAGGGAACTCGGGATGCTGGAAAGGAAACCCACAGTTTACTCCGGCCCTGGAATGCGCTGTTACTACAAGGAGTAAGCAGGCTCACCTGCACCTCTCAACCCAGACCCTGCCAGGAGAGGACGTGCAAGGAACCATAGCAGAGGTGCCAATACAGCAATGTGGGGACTGTGTCTGTGCAATCCAGGGAGGTGGAAAATCCTACACAACCCCCCCAGAATTGACAGCAACCACCCCAGCAATGCGGGGGTGCTGAGCCAGCTCTGCCCACACACAGCGAGGCCATGGGAGGTGTGCAGGGGAGGCTGAGGTGGCACCTCCATGGGCAGGGGAAAGGGCTGCCCTAGTGGCATTCCCAGAGGGATGCAGGGGCAGGAGCAGCAGGAGGAGCAGCAACACTGGACTGGAACGGTGCAATGACCCGGGGGTGTGAGAATAGAGCTAAATGTGGCAGACTGGAGGGGGCAGCTATGCTTGCCCAGGCAAGGATGGGGAGGAATCAGCTGCATCCAGGACAGCTGGCCCAGAAGGGTCTCAAAATCCCAAACACCAAAGCTCTGTGAGCCCAGTGAAGCTTCATCCCATGGTGGAGCCTACGAAGAGACCACAGGCGCCCAAATCCCTCTGGAATCTGTTTGTCAGGGACTGGATCACCACAGGCCAGAGGCCCTGGGGACAGTGACAGGCCTGAGCTGGAGGCAGCTCTGCTTTGGGGCTGTTTGTGGGACTGCCCAAGGATACCAGTGCTGCCAATGGGTCTCCCAGAGCCTGCCAGGTCTGAGCAGTCTATCCAGGGACACAGGGCTTGCCATCCTCTGATGAGGACACCTGATGGCAGTTCTCCAGCTCTCTTATGTGCACACAGATGTTATGTGCACACAGTTCTCCACTGCTAAATTCCCACACCTTGGCCTCCATCCTCCTGAGTAACCATCTGCACCACCAAACCCCCTCTCACACCACAACAGCAAAGCCATCTCTGGCCCTGCTGGCTCCTCCTGCCACTGGCTGAGAGACAAAGAACATTGGGGAGGAGAAACAGAGAGTAGGAAGAGAGAGGGAAGGAGCCAGGAAAGAACTTCACTCCTCACAGGGTTCTGCCTCTGCCCAGAGCTGGGTGAGCAGGTCACTCCCTCTCCAGGAGCCTGTTTGGTCCTGCCCAGGTGATCCACTACATGGACCCACTGCCCAGGGCAACTGCCCTCCTCCCTGACATCGTTTTGGATGCTCTGGCCAGGGAACTCTTGTCACAGTTATTCACTCTGTGATCAGTTCAAAAGCCTCTCACTCCCTGACCACCCTTCCCACATTCCCACCAGTTCAGTGGCTGCCAGCCATCAGCAACGTGAGCAAAGTGCAGCTCTGCCCACAAGGAACCTGACTGCAGCATCCAGCCCTCTCTGTTCTCTGCCCTGGAGTAAAAGCATCCCTGGAAATCACGAGAGGCAGCAACTCCTGACAGCCACTGAGCCCAGCTCTGCTCCCACCCCTCTGGCGAGCAGGGAGAAGGTAACATCACACACAGAGATTACAATTGTGCTAGCGGTGAAGCCAACCTTCTGATCTACAGAAATGATAATAAATAATAAAATAACATCATAACTTAAGATCTGTCTGTAGTCCAGCTACAAAAATTTAAAAATATGGGATAATTTAACTCATACAATACTGCTCTCTGTATAAGTAAGACATTTTCCTTCACTTTGCCATGAGGCTATAAATTACCACAGTTAAGTTCAAACCAATATTTTAACATAAAATGTAAACAAACAAAGCAACAGAAGTACCTGTCCATGGTCCATTCCTGCCGTTCACCTCTGGCTGGCCGTGCCAGCACACTGGGAAGGGCAGAGGGAGAGCTCTTGCAGGGGGACATCAACTAAGGAAGGGGAGGGGAACGTGCTCTATCGTTTTGTTCTCTTTCAATATTGTTTTAGAAGAATAGTGTTTGAAGGGAAGGCACTATGAGTTCTATCAGAAAACAAATTTTTCTCATCTGCCAATGCCTCGGCCTGTCACATACCAGTACTATCCTCACTTGCACCTGCAGAGTTTCAGTTTGGAGGAGAAACAGAGGCCTCGGGCACACACCCGAGACGCAGCGGTGCCACGGCCATGTCAGGATTCCCTGCACAAGGCCTGCCATGAAGGGCAGGCAGCTGCTAATGCTTCCAAGAATGTACAGTGAATAAGGAGACAGGGCAGGGCTGATGCTCTCAGCCAGGCCAGCGATTCCCAGTCTTCCCCCTCAACACACAGCCCTCTGCTGGTTCTTGATGCTGCTGTAGGTGAGAGGCTGCTTCTCCCAGTCCACTCCAGGCGTCTCCAGCGTCCTCCCCAGAAGTGCTCGGGCTCTGCGGAATGTGCTTTCCATGCTTTGCAAGTCCTTGCTTGGCCAACACTGAGTTGATTGATTTCTTTGACTGACTGAAACAGACAGGAGGTAAGAGGAGGAAGTAAACTGGGAAATGGCACACTGCATCTGAGAGAGGTTTCCCTGCTCAGCTGGAGGTTGACACTCCCAGAGTGAAGCAAGGACGGTGGTAAGAAGTGCTCTGATACCAATTCTCAAGAGGACGAGGTTAGAATACATTTGCAGGATCTCACAACAAAATGCTGATTAAAAAAAGAAACTAAAAATCCTTAAAATAAAACCCATCATTACATTCCTGGGGATGTATCTACTCAGAAGACCCTGGTTGTTAGCACCTCAGTACCAGTTTTCTCCAGGAACATGTCCACCTTCTGATTAAAAATGACCCAGCTGGTTATACTGAAAACACTTTGTTCACAGGTGACCCTACAGTCAGGTCTTTTTCTGCTTTTTCTCATTTGATAAGACTGAGTGGTTTAGTTTTCTTGATCTGTTCTCCAATCTTCAGGGCCACGAGGCCTGGTCCCCTGTGCAAGCAGCAAGAGAATCCCCCGCGTCTGTACACAAAGCTGTCCAGGCAGGACTCCCAGGATGTTTCTCTGTAGTGTGCTTGCTTTCTGAACTTTTTTTTTTTTTTGCAACAAGTCTGTGTGTCTATAAATACAATCCACTCTTTACAGTAAAAAGTGTTAAAATGTCAAAAAAATAAATATCCATGTTACAGTAACTAGATTATTCAATAAAATACATCCCTGCCATTCTTGATTGAAATGCTCAAAGAGAATTAATTTCATTTGGACATTTTCCAGAGATTCGGGTTATTGCAAATCACTCCTGGGGTGGGAAGGAGAAGCATCTTCTCTTCCTGTAAAGTGTGATGAAGGGGAATGAAGTGGAATCTCAGGGAAATCAAAATGCCAGTACCAGGAAGCTTTGGGGGAGATCTGTATTACCAAGTAGCAGAGCTGCAGGGCTTATTGGTCCTGACCGTGGCATCAGAACACTCCCCTTCAGAAGAGTCACAGTCTGATTCTCCAAACTGTGGTGGGTTCTGCAAGACAAAAGGAAAGGGGGAGACTTGAGCACCATTCCTCTACTGCACATCACCTACATATCTCAGTCTGTAACAGCAGCCAGGTAAAGGTCACCACCTGCAGAGGAGGAGAATGGCACACATGGGAGAGGGCACAGCACACGACTGCCCCACCAAAGGTCACTTGTCTCCCCTAAGAGAGGGGACAGCACAGAAATACCTGGTCACAGCACTCTTAAACACAGAGTTATGAGGAGATCATGCAGCAGGCTCTGCCCTACCCCTCCCAAACACTTGAAAGACAGAGAAAGGAAGAAAGTCATCCCAGCTTTGTCAGCAAGGCTGCCAATGGATATGTCTGAGGCAGTTTATATCCACTCCATTTCATTATGTATTTTTATCCCACGTAACGCAACTGCAAATCTGACGGGCTCCCAAGATCACACTCATCTTGACCAGCACATTATGTTCAGCTTTGTTTGTGCTACTTTCCCCCACCCACTCTTCTGCCAAGCAGGAGGAAGAGTGGATATTGCAGCACTTGCTTTGCCATAGTACACCTACCACAGCATTTTCTAGGCAGTGTTCCAACTTTCTGGTCCCTGGATTCCTTTCCATAACATTTATGCAGTTTTTTTCCACTGAGTAGAAGGAGGAGGGAATAACCAACTCACCTCACAGCTGTGTTCATCTGCACAAAGTTTGCCCAGAGACATCTGAGTCTTGACCCTCCGCACAGCACACTCTTTGTCCGAAAGCCCATCCGACTGCGTGGAGATTTCAATGGGGATCTCTGGAGTCTGGGACAACATGTCCTCCAGCTTCTCAGCCAGCTCATCCTCCAGCTTGTTGGCCAGCTCATCTGGGCTGTTCGAGTGGTCGCTTGTGTTCCCCTCCTCTCCATCCGACACAGAGAAGTTCTCAGAGCTGAAGGTCGAGTAGGACTGGCAGCTACTGATGCAGCGGTGGGGTCTGCAAACAGGGAGAAGTTCAGTGCTCACCTTGGATGGCAGTCACAGGGAACTTTCTGGATGCTGTGTTCACTGCTCTGCTACACCAGGCCTTGTGGAGTGCCTTCCACATCCTGGAGCTACAGAATTCTACCCCTTCTGAATGATATAGTTCAAGACCTGCATCTTTAAATTCATTTCTTCTATCCTGTCTGATATGTCCATGTTAGCTGATCTGCCCTGCAGCATATTTTTCTTGGACAGTGCATTTTCCTAAAGTGCTAGGCTATACTGTGGAGTTCTGTTTAGTATTTTTACTGATGACATGGATGAGGGTATTGAGTCTTTTATCAGTAAATTTTCAGATGACACTAAGCTAAGATTGTGTGTGGATCTCTTGGAAGGTAGGGGGGCTCTGCAGGGAGACCTGGAATGGTTGGATGGGCACAGTCCAATGAGATGCAGTTTAATAAGTCCAAGTGCCCAGTCCTGCATTTTGGCTGCAATAACCCCTGCAATGCTATAGGCTGGGGACAGTGCCCAGGCAGAAAGGGACCTGGGGGTACTGGGCAACTGGGAAATTTAGGTTGGATGTTAGGCAAAAGTATTTTATGGAAAGCATGATAAAGTACTGGAATTGTCTGCCTGGGGAGGGGGTGGAGTCACCATCCCTGGATGGGTTTAAAAAATGACTGGATGTGGCACTGGGTGCCATGGTTTAGTTGAGGTGTCAGGGCATGAGTTGGACTTGATGATCTTAAAGGTCTCTTCCAACCCAGTGACTCTGTGAGTTCAGGCAGGAAGGAATAATCTGGGAGAAGTATGAGAATGGGGTATGCAGACAGAGCCTGCTTTCTCCTGGCATCTCTTCCTGGCCTGCACCATTCAGCAGATCTGACTTCCTAGCAGAAGCTCAAACCCAGAGGACAATGCTAACAGTCACTGATGGATCCGTACTCCAGAAATTTTGCACTTATGGCTCTTCGTGCTCTGATTTCCACAGCACACCTTGACAATGAGCTGCACATCTGAAAATGTTCTAGATGGAAAAAGCACTTCCTTTTGTTCATTTTACCCTGTTTGCTTCACTGGCTGCCCCTAATATGAATGTGAAGAATCATTCCTTGTCTATTTTCTCCACATAAATTACAATTTCATGCACCTCCAGTGTTGCCTTTCCTCCTGCTAGAGAAACATTTCACATGGGTTTAATCTCCTCTTCTACAGAAACCATCCCTAACCACTCCTGTCACACTTCTCAGTACCTTTCCAAACTTTACTGTGGTCTTTGAGCTGGGGCAATGAAGGGAGCATTAGGATTTAGGCTTCAGGTGTGCTGTGAATGCACACAACAGGAGACAAGATTTTATTTTCTTCTCTGCTCCTTTGAATCAAACCTTTAGCCTGTTTGCCTACAGGATCACTCCTGCACTTGAAGCAGCTGCTTTCATTAAGCTGCAGCACCAAGTCCATGATGTTTCCCTGGGCATAGTACTGTAAATCCTGCTGGTCCCCAGGCTTATCTAGGAACACTCCCCCTAAGTCTTATTTTACAGGCAACACCACCAAATTTGATCTGCTGTTGTCTCCTAGCTCTGCAATCTTATCTGAATTCAGCTACAAAGGTGCCGGGCTGGAGTCTGACCCACTGCAACAACAATTAATAAACAACACTGGAGTAGCCCACAAAGAGTTCCCACGTCCACTAAGTCTGATCCTGGTGAAACAGATGCAGCAGCTCATTTACAGAGGCAGAATAACACTTTCAAGTGTGATCAAGTTGTGCTGCTAACGGCCTGCAGGAAAGCCAGCAGGAAAGCTGGGCCAGAGAGAACATCTCAGGACTGGCTGGAACAATGAGTGGACATGAGAGATCAGCTGAAGGTGGATGGGACACATTGAATGGGATTCTGCTCTTCTGCCAGCACCTTCACCAGTTTCAGTGCTGCTGTGCAGGTGCTTTGAGAGTTCTCCTCAGTTTTGTCCCACCAAAGAGAGATTAGAGTGAATTCACCTTTTACCTTTGTCTACGAGGAAACTCCACTTCACTGTCAACTTCACCCTCCTCCTCTTCTGATGACTCATCCCCGCTCTGGCAGAAAACAAGGACAAAAAGGGTGTCATGTTTGGGGAAGTTCAAACATATCTGACCCCTTGGTCCTTCAGGAAAAAGCCACTGCAAAACAGTGCAAAATCCACAGGCTGCAAGAATCCAGACCAGAAAACAGCCTGTGTGTCAGGAACACTGACTCAGACATTGCCAACTAGGAGGCTGTTTCAGACAGTCTCAAGGCTGCTATTCCCACATCTGGAGTGACTGACTGGGAAATACACTGGAGTATTTCAGCAGGTATGGAGTACAGAATGTTACAGATTCTCACTGAAGCAAGTCAAATAATGAGTATCACATGGAAACCCACATAAATTATGGAGCTGGTTTGGCACTCTTGGCTTTATCCTCTTCTACCACAGCACATCAATAGAGCAGGATGGAGGATGACACAGCCTTTGCCAATGGGTTTCCCCAACTAGGAGAACCTGGGATTTGTTTCACACTCAGTGAACACAGAGCCTTTTATTGTCCTTCTCCCATCCAAATCTACCCCCACACTGTTGTTTCTTTACAGCCTCCTTCTATGCTATCCAACCTGTCAGCCCCTCATTCAGATTAAGCCTTTATCTCATCCCATCCCCTTGTCTTACAAGGTCCTAGTCCCATCATGCTGAGGCCAAACCACACTCTTGGTCTAGTAACTACATTATTTTTCTTGACTTTTCCAGCCAGGCTCAGATTTCCTGCTCTTTGAACTCAAACTGGTTCTTACTTCTCTCACCACCTGGATGGAAGCAGGAGGAACAAAGAGCTGCTTCTGTACAACTGTGTCATAATCTCCTTTTTACTCTTGCAAAATCTTCACAAAATACAGGAGAACTATAACTTTTAGCGTAGGGGGGCAATTTCTGACAGGTGCAGCAAAAGGGATGTCTTCAAGACCATGGGAAATGTTGAATCTTTGCCTTGAGACACAGCAGCACCACAGATTCTCAAACTCTCACATGATATTACAGAACAATTTAAAGAATGCATTTATCCCTTCATTTGGAGAAAGGCTTTAAAGCTTTTTGAAACTGTTTCAACATCAAAAACTGAGTAGAACAAGCTGCAACTCAAACCAATTGGCGAAAGTGCACATAACAGAACCAGGCCCTACCAAAACCACATCTTCAAATGCCAGTGGTGCGTCCTCACCTTTTGGAGGGATCTCGCTTTGCAGGGCAGCCCTGAGGAAGCCAAGTGCTGGGGAGTGCCCAGGGCAGACACTGCCGTGCCCTGCTCCTCCAGCTTCTCCATGAACTGCGCGCTCTCGTAGAGGGACGCGGGGGACTGGGGGCGGCTCCCGCCCGGTTCCACAGCCGCCATCTGTGCCTGGCCACTGTCCTCATCCCTGCACTGCAGGCAGGGGTCGTAGGGATCCGCCTGGCAGCACTCCCAGCGCTCGGCCGTGCTGTCCCTGCTGTCCCGGCCGCGGCGGCAGTCGGCCTCCATGGCGGTGGAGATGAGGTCGGGGCTGGAGCCGGAGACGCGGCGCTGCGCGTGGTTGCTGAGGGGGCTGCGCAGCGCGGCCGCGGGGCCGAAGTAGCGCAGGTTGTTGGCGCAGGTGGCGATGTCCTGCCCGTGGGCGTGCAGCCGCGAGTGCTGCCCGTGGGGACTGTGCCCGGGCTGCTGCGGCGCTGCAGGGGCGTGGGGAGGGTGGGGAGGGCCGGGCTGGGGGGCATCATCCTGCGCTGGCTGGTTTTTCAAAATCCCTGCAAATTCATTGTAGCTGCCTTTGCTGTTCCCCCGGCGGTGCCGGGGCTTGCTGCGGTACCGGCTTTTGCCACTCAGGGTTGACATCTTGGGACTTCCTGAGACTGGGGAGCCATTGGATGCTGCTTCTGTGCTGGGTATGCCCTCTGACTTCAGTAGATCTGGCCTGGGAGACAAGGAGAAGTTACATGTCAAGCCACAAACAAAGAAGTGACACCGGCCCAGAGCCAGGATGAAGAGGCAGCTGGAGCCAAAAGCACTCTCTGCTTCCTAAAATCTACAGGCTGCCCTCCCCTTCAGCTGCTTGACTCCTGCATTTTGGTCCCTGTGATTCTCTCCACTCAACATCCTCTCCATTCAGCCATCCTGCTCTACACTCTTGTCTTGCTGGTTTTCCAATAGCTGTCACACACTCTCCTTTTCCGCTCTTATTTTGATGTTTTCTCCCAAAATAGCTCCCTCTCAGGACCCTAGGGTAGAGCATGGCTCTCACTCTGTGCATGTACAATGGTGGTGATCAGGCTGCTCATCTAAGAGCCGTGTGGGGATATTAATTCAGAAGTGATTATTCACTTGTAATCAGGACTAACTCCTGGAAATCCCCAAAAAAGTAAAGACTAAGACAACTCTTTTAGAAAAAAAACATCTCCCTATCTAAAAGTCATGCAAAAGAGATAAAACTGAAAGGACAGCATGAATTCCCAAATCTCAAATCCCAAATTAATTCCTCAACAATGAATCCATCCTTCCTGAGGCCTGCCTGATTTCTACAATCCCTTGCCCTGCTTATTCCCATCCACGTCAAGGATGATCTTGGATAGTTACGAATTTGAGAAAACACAAGAGATACCTCCTGTCCAAGTATCATCACCTGCTCAAAAATCACATGGACCAACAATTAATTCATTCAACCAACACATCCTGTGATTTCGTGGTCCCAGAGAGCTGCCCAGGTGGCAGGGATGGCAGGATTCATCCCCTTCACCTTAAGATCATTAAATAATTATGGTTCTGAGCATCAGACCAGGCTTAAGTGTGAAACCCCTTTGTCCTACCCTGCATTTCATCAGGCTCAAAGGGAAGGAACTGCCCAGTGGGGATCTACCACTGGCTCTGGCACAGGACTGGGTTGTTACTTCTCACCGTTTGGTCTGGCTGCCTGGTTTATGGGAGACCCCTTTCCTCTTCATCAACTTCTCCACTGTATTGGGGTGGATGATTGGTCTGACTGGGTGACGTTTGTAAGTTCCAGGGTACTTCTTTTCCACTGCTTGTTCCCTCCTGAAAAATCAGGAAAAGAAAAATAAAGAAAACCACATCAGTTGTGTCTCTCTCCATTTGCTGCTCCCGCTGGACAGGAACTGGCTCTGCAGGGAACACGCTGCATATCCCATTGCTCTGCTGGGAAAGCACACAGACACTTCTAAACTCCTTCTAAATTCCTTCTAAATCAGGTAGCAGGCACAAGGCCCTGGCACACAGTCCAGGAGCAGCATTGCCATTCCCTTCATGCATGGGCCAAAGGATGACAGCACCAAATGGGAAGGTGCCTTTCTCCAAGTCAGTAACCACTGACAGTGGTCTGCAGGAATTCACTACAAAGGGAATTGCTGGTGAGCAGGGAGAGGTCCCTAGCTTTTGTGGTTAGTCAGGGGACACTAAATCTGCAATCCAGTTTAGAACTGAAGGGCTGTTTGTGCTCTGCTGTGTGCAGACTGCTCCCATCACCATGCCCAGACACGTACTTGATGAGCTCCTTCTCCCGCACCTCCAGCTGCAGCATGATAGCGCTGAGCTCCATGTACAGGTTATTGGCTCGCTCCAGCTTCCTCTCGTAGTGCTCACGGATATCCAACGCATGTCTGAAAGGCACAAAAGGCTTTAGTCCAGCCTGACTTCCATGGACCAAGAGAAGAGAATGAAGAAAAGTACAGGTGCTTTAGGAAAAGGCCTTTTAAAAGTCAAATTTGCCAGCTGTACTGCACTGAATCCCAGATACAGCTAACAGTGAATGATGACTGATTAAGAGCCTGACACAGCAATAAATCATGGTATGGTTTAGAAAGTGTTTAACAGCCTTGAAAGTGTGGCAACACTTCTCCCTAGAAGAGCTGCAAATGCATCACACACACCCAGGAGCCCTCTGGCCAAACCCTGATCAGCCTGTTTGCACAAAGAAGAGGCTAAACCAGCCTCTACAGAAACAGGAAAGAAGTCATGTGTCTGTATTTCATTAACAGCAGGGTGTCCACCAAGCTCCAGTACAGCTGAAATACATGGCCACCCAAAGCTCCCTGGGGATCTTAGAGTTTTATGTTTCTCTGTCTACTGTATTTGCAAATTTGTATCACAGGATACAATTTTCCTTCTTTAAATAAACCCTCTGCTTTCATTTTTAAGCTGGTATAATCAAAATGCATTTCAGTGGGCAGTTTATATGAAGTATGTTCACTTCTCTGTAATAACTAACCCAAAGAAAGTATCAGGGCAGACAAAGCTCATAGCCAACCTCAGGATGGATTTCCCACTGAGATGGATGTCTCTGCTTCAGTGCTGTTATCACAAACATCAATTCTCAGGCAGAAATATTCCCTGGGAAACACACAAGCCTTTGCCACCCTCTCTGGAGCAAACTGTTGAGACTGCCCAAGAACAGCAACAGCTCCCACTGCGTCTCTCCAGATTCCATCAGCCAAGCAGAGCTCATGGCCTAGGCCAGGCCCATGGCAATTTTGGTTTCCAGGTTCACAAGGAATTTAGGCTGCCTGAACTTACACCACCAGGAATACCGGGTCCTGTATTGGGAACCTCAGTACAAGAGGAGAATAAAAAGTGTCAGGGGCTGGAGCAGGAGGCCCTGTGAGAACAAGCTGAGGGCTCCTTTAGCTGGGAAGGGAAGGCTGGATAGGAAAAGCAAACAGTACACACAAAAGACTGAACAGACCTCAGCTCTTCTCTTCGACGGCGAATCAATTCTTCATCCAGCCGGTGGATACAAGTTCCTTCACTTTTAATTTTCTCAAAATGTTTCTTCACTTCTTCTCTCCATTCAGCCTAGGAAAGCAATTTACCTTTAGCTATTTACAAAGAATTGGGATCTGTAGGTGTATCACAAAAAATTCCTGGGCAATGTTGTTTGTGTCTGCAGAAAATTACAGCTTTGGGTTGAGAATGTATTTTTGTTAGCTGAATTATTTTGGGTAACAACACCACAGCACATTTAGTGCCAGCATTTTCAAATGGTATTTACAATTCTGTGCTTCAAACAGAGAATTTACAACATATCTACATTTTCTAAGAAATATTTTTTTAATTCCTAGAGTTCTTTTTGTTCTAAGAGAAGATTTTCTTTACTTTTGGCAGTGAAAATAAGTAGAACGGTTCAGGATTTTGAAAGCCCCATGATGGTGCCTGTCTAGAGTGATAGTCTATTTGCCCCTTGAAGCCCTGCAGCAGAAGTCTCAGCATGGGAAAGTTTGGATAAAAGATTTCCAAACATCCATCAGGTTGCTCCTCCCCAGGATTCAAACTGAAATCATGGATCCAGAATTTCTCTACTCAGTGCACCCTCCAGAATCAGATCCTTGGAGCTAATTCCAGTACTGACAGGCTACAGCCTTTCCCCAGTTACCTGGGATTTGAAGTAGGTTTCCTGAGGAGTAGCCAGCACATCAGCAGAGGCGATGTCCAGGTGCATCAGCGTCTGCCGGAAGGACGGACGGTTCCGGGGCTTGCTCTGCCTGAAACAAAACAGAAACAGCCAAGAGTGAGGTGAGGGATGGGCACTGCCAGCCTCTCCTGTCCTTCAGGGGTAAGGGATGGGCACTGCCAGCCTCTCCTGCCCTTCAGGGGGGAGAGATGGGCACTGCCAGCCTCTCCTGCCCTTCAGGGGGGAGGGATGGGCACTGCCAGCCTCTCCTGTCTTTCTGGGGGGGAGGGATGGGCACTGCCAGCCTCTCCTGCCCTTCTGGGGGGAGGGATGGGCACTGCCAGCCTCTCCTGTCCTTCTGGGGGGAGGGATGGGCACTGCCAGCCTCTCCTGCCCTTCTGGGGGGAGGGATGGGCACTGCCAGCCTCTCCTGCCCTTCAGGGGGGAGAGATGGGCACTGCCAGCCTCTCCTGTCCTTCTGAAAGGGTCTCACGAGATCCTATTCTCTGAACCAAGCAGCTGACAGGTTAGAGCAAAGGAGCTTTTCTGGTTTTCTCTTTTGCTGAATACGATTTAATTATGCTAGAGGTGGTTTGTGATGGACCATTCTGAAGAAACAAAAGAGGTGCAAATGTGTAAAACCAGAAAATGAGAGTACAGAGTGAAAGATCACATAAAAGTACAAAAACGTTTGGATTTTTGAGAAAAAGGACCAGCACTTGAGTTTCAGGACCGAATCCACCTTGCACAGGGCAAGAGCAGCTTCTTGAGCCTCCTCTCCCCTACCAACCACCTCCTTCCACTAGGTGGGGATACAAGTGTTTGTAGGTACTCAGTTGTACCGAGCTGCCACAGCCCCACTGCTGCAGCTCAGGGTAAACTGCCACTGGGAGAAATCCACACGTGCTCTGGCCTGGTGTTCCCTTTGTGCTATGGGGAGGATGGCTGGTAAAACCCATGGAGTGGAAAAATGCTGGAAGACCCTTTATACTGTGTCAAGATGTAATTACAAAGACAAAGCCTCAGTGTGAAACCCAAGACAAAGAACTTCAACTCCAATATGGTACATGGAGGAAACTGAAAGCATTTTCTATATCTGAACCTGGAAAATCTGTGTTCCAGAAGGAAAGCTCGTATTTCTCTTTGTCTAGTCCAAAAGTCAATTGCTCACAAGGGGTTTTCTGAGTGAAAAAATCAGATCCCTTCACTCTGGATGTGGCCTCAAGGAATTTTACCCCTACTTCCAGCTCCTTTTGTCTTCCCACAGAGCCACCTTTTATCCCCCACTTTGCTACAGCAAAGCAACACCCTCTGGGAAGGCTCCTGAAGATGTCTTGGCATCCAGGCCTGCTGCCACAAGGAAGCAGAATCCAGAATGTTAAAACTCTCCCAGGACAAGTGTGAGAGTATCTCAGAGTCCTCTGCTCTGGGCTCCATACTCTCACCCTGACTTTCCTGGGTTTTTGCTGGGAGGTCTGTGCTGTGTGGGGTTCAGGCTCTTACCAGGTTTGCTTCATGAGGATTTTGAAGCCATCTGGGCAGGTGGAAGGGACAGGAAGGTGGAGGCTGTTACTGCCCACTCCCCAAATGATGGCTGAAGAGTCCACATCCTTGTAGGGAATCTCTCCTGTGAGCAGCTCCCACAAAACCACTCCAAATGACCTGATGAAGAAATAAACCAGGATAAATTGAGTTCACACAGCAGCTGTTAACAGAAACACCCGGAGCTTGAAAAAAACAGTTTGTTGGGCAAAACAGGGAAATAGAGATGGTGGTTTTTAGCACACCAGGTAACTCCTCTGCTTCAGCACAAAACCACACTGGTTTCCACCCATCCTTTCCTGCTTCTTTGTGAGATTTTAAAGACCCTGAAAGCACATTTTCTGTACAGATTAAGTCTTGTTCCTCTTAAATTAAAAGACTCCAAAGTCTACTCTCATCTAGACTTTGGACTGTTCTTGCTGGTAAGAACAGATGATTGACTACTGCACAGACTGACAAGTGTCTTACAGAGACAACACAACAAAGGTTTTGTGGCTTTTTTACATTTCATTTAACTGGTTTTGTTTTCTTTTCCCTAACCAAAGGCTCCCTCTGCTGTTACCTGTAGTCCCAGGTAAAAGTGTCAAGGTCTGAGATTCAGCACTACAACTACTGCAACACAGAAATTAGGAAACAAATGCTACTTGCATAACTGTCAGTACCAAAAGCACATGAAGTCTCATCTGATATTCCTTTTGTTCTGAAGAAAGGAAGGATTAAGCAAAAAAAAAAAAAATTAAGAGAACTCAGGGAAACAATCTCCCACAAGAACTGAAAGATGTAGTTAAGAAAACTCACTTTGCTTCTCTTCCTTAGTGAAGGTACCAGAAAGAACCAAAACCTTCATTTTTAACAGCAAATATTTGTTTTGTATACAATCATCACCCAATAAAACATCAAAGAAACACCAAACCAGTCAATACAGAGATAAACAAAATGCTGCTGAGAACCACCACCACTGTTACTGCCCATCAACAACAGGGCTGTGATACAGGTGAGGCACCACCATCCCTATTTCCAAGCCAGATGTGCCATCTCACTGTGTCCCACTCCTCTGTGGGACACCAACCCTGCCAGGTTGCAGACTAGAGCCAGGTGAAAGGTGAGAAGGATGTTTCTGGCTTGTACCAATATCCAGTGCTTTTATTAAGTACAGAAGAACTTCTAAGGGACAAACTACCAGGTCTGAACGACCATCAGTCAGGAAATAACTTCATGTGAAAAACACTGCACTTTCAAAGCCCATGGGTTTCAAATCATGTGTAAAAAAACAAAGCAACAAACAAGCAGAATTTGAATATATCTCGCCTAAAAATCCTTTTCTGTGAGCTCTAGGAAAGCAGGGATCCAGGAGGTTGGACAAACTACCAGGGAAAGCTCATCTGGTTTCATATTTGTTATGACTAAGAACTGACAAAGGACTTCCAAGACTCCTGATAAGATTATAGATTTATTTTTCTGCATGCTGTTAGAGATGAGAGAGAACAGACATATAAGCAGCTCAGGAACTGTTCTCATTTGTTGGCAGCATTCATGAACATCATTTTTATTCATCTTGAAGGTGGATGGCAAGGGAGAGTCTGAGCAATCACCACTGTTTTGAACTCCAAAGGAACTGCACCAAAGAGCAACATCTCCACATCACTGAGGGAAGGAGCAAAGGTTTTATTGGACAGGATGTTCTGTGAAATATTCCTGAACAGAAACCACTCTAAAGGACAGAAAGCTGAAGGTAGAAATCCAGCACCACTTGTCCTCACAATCCTGTGATTCAAAGAAAGGGGTTCAGCAGACAAATTCAGGGTGTATTTTCTTTCCACAACTACCCAAGTGTTCCTCCCAGAGGAGCTGGCTGTGCTGTGACCTGGACATCCAAAATAAACACACAGGACACCATGGGCACAAGAGCAGCTGCACCATCACCTGCCCTGCAGGAAATCTTGCCCTTCAGGTCAAGCCCAGGCCTGAGCTAGAACTCCAGCAGCAGCTCCTGAGTCCACTGCACCCTGGACCACCCACAGCTTTGTCCAGCAGCTCCCTGCCCTGCCAGGGAAGGGACAGCAACTGAAGCTGAAAAACCACAGGAAGCAAAATCCCTCCTGGCTGTAAAGCAGGGAGAAGGGCATTTGTCCTGGCTGCTGACATTTAATATGCAGAAATAATGAGGCAGAAACAGAGATGCAGATCCCTTGAGGGCTCTGAAACCTGTGGAGAGGCTTCCCAAAGGAACTCCAAGGCCAAGCCCTCTCAAGCATTTTTAATAGCACAGAGACTGAACCATTCCTTGTGTTCATTTGGACACAAAGCACATTCCACATCGATGGAAACAGGCTCCAGAACTCTTACAATCTATCCTGTTTCCTCCCTCTTGGATCTGGGATTGGATTCACTGGACTGTAATCCTGAGGCTGCCCACACAACAACCAGCCTGGTGTGCAGGAAGCACAAGGGGTGGGGAGCAGACAGGGGCCTCCCCACAGCTCCAGAGTGGCCCTGAAGAGGACCAGAAGCGATGGAAAAACCACCCTGGCTGTGGAGGCTGCTGAGGGGGCCCTGAGCACAGCACTAGGAGAAAGCTCTGGGCTGGATAAGGACACAGAAAAGAATTTCTGCATTTGCTTCCTGCAAGACACAAACTGCACTGAGCCTTGGCTGGAACCTGTGTCATTTCCCTTTCCATCAGAGGCCACCAAAGCTCAGGGCACCAGGCAGAAGGAGAAATGAACAGCCCACCACAGAGCAAACCATGCTCAGGCACAGGATGAGGAAAGGACATGGAAAGTGCTGGGAAACCAAGGGACTGAAGAGAAGGTGGAGGTACATGACCATGAACACCACTCACCAGATGTCCACCTTCTCAGAGACGGGCTCGTTCCGTATCACCTCCGGGGCCATCCACGCCACTGTGCCCGCAAAGGACATTTTGGTACTCTTGTCACTGAGCTCTTTAGATGTACCAAAATCTGAAATCTTTACTGCATCTGTGTGTGTAACCAAAACACTGGAAAAAGGGAAAAAAAATAAGTCATCGCTACTTTGTGATTTTTCTTGCACCACAACAGCCACTGAAGTAAATCCCTTCTTAACAACACAGCCTGTTGATGAGGCCACACTGCTCACAAGTGCAGTAAAAAAGAAAATATTTTGTATTTTCCCCAATAAAAGCTCTCACTCTCTTTTGGGTGGTAGTGTTTTGGGCCTTAAATGCATTTCTTAATGCTACGAGTCAAAAATCAATCTCAATAAAACTGCAAATTAACAAGTAACTGAGGATCCAGAGGCAAAGCTGTACCTTAAACTGTGCTGCAAATCATCTAAAAGCATTATCTTAATGCACTGTCACAGACTAAAGAAGTAATAAACATCTAGGGAATAAGAATATAAAGAAGCCAGAACATTTTAGTCAGAAAGCAACAGAGAAATGAGGAAGACACATTCCAGAAAACCAGGGAAATAATAGGAGAATAAGATGGAAAACTAAAAAGGCAGGAGGCAACAGAATATCCCACTTTCCAAAAAGACCAGATATCATCAGATCATTAAATATCTCCTGACTGCTATTTATCATGGAAGATACCAGTAAAATTTCCACTCTTGTTAAGTGCCAACAAGTTGCAATAGTTTCACTCTCACTAGTTTTGAGTCAACATGGGGCAAAAAATAGTAGAGCCTTTTGACCAAACTTTAAACTATTTCTCAAGAAAAGGAAAAAATAGCCCCAACCGAGGGATGTTTAAGCAGCTGAGACTCACTTTGATGACCTGAAGAACCACAACTGGGGGATGTTTAACTTTGGTGACTTGAGGAACCCAAACTAAGGGATGTTTAAGCAGCTGAGACTCACTTTGGTGACTTGAGGTCTCGATGGATGATTTTGTGGAGGTGCAGGTAGTTCATGCCGCTGGCAATCCCCGTGGACCAGTCCACCAGCAGCCGCGGGGTGACCTTCCTGCCGGCCCGCAGGACCTCGTAGAGCTGCCCGTGGGCACAGTACTCCATGATGATGCAGTAGCACGGGGCCTGCGTGCAAACTCCCCTGGCAAAGACAACACACAGTGAGGAGCAGCAGACACACAGCTGGACAGGAAGGGTGACCATCACTTTGTCCTAGACACAGGATTGTAAAAGCCTTCCCAGAGAACTTGAGCCAACGGCTCTTGCCTGGGCAAAGCTCCTGACAAGGGTCACAACCTACTTGAAGGCGATGATGTTGGGATGCTTGAGCTTGCGCAGGTGCTTGATGTCCGTCTCGTTCTGGTCCCTCACTTTCTTGATGGCCACCTCCTCCGCGCGGAACTTGCCCAGGAACACGGCGCCCTGAGCCCCGCTGCCCAGCCACTGCAGCTCCGAGATCTCCTCGAACGGCACCTCCCACGTGTCTGGGCACAGGGCAAACAACGGATAATGGAAAAGGTCAGGAACATGGAAACCGTCAGAGCACACCAGGGCAGCACTGCCACCTCCTGCACCACACGGTGGGCTCTTCTGGAGGGAGTAGGTGACATCTGCTCCTGGCACACACTGCATGTGCTCAGCCAACAACCCAGCCACCTCCAGCCTGCTCATTCCCATCCTTCCAGCTTTTTCACCACCCTGCTAACCACTTGTGTGAGCCACTCAGCTTGGAAGGCAGCAATTCACCATACCAGGGACCCTGGACTGGTAATTTTGGAAGGAGATCCTCTACCCCAACACTGAACAAAGTGAGTGACTCCATTGAAAAGCATAGAATAGAAGAGACATTTAGCATTCACAAGTGATCTAAAAATATTGAGGGTCTTTTTCACTCCCTGAATTAAACAAAAATAGGAAATAAAAGTCAGAGGTGGCAGGCTGTAAAACACAGAGCAGCAACCACCAAGATAGCCAACACAAAGCATATCAACCACCAGCAGCAGGCACAGAAATAGGTCCTTCCCACAACAACATTGTGTATATCAGTGTCAAACAGGTAAAACAACCTTAAGCAATTCCTCCTCTTTGGTACCCACACACATTTGTAGGGATAGTGCTGGAGAGGTCCAGTGACACTGTATAAACTCAAGAGAGCTGCACTCTCATGTAAAAATTCAAGAGAGCTGCACCCATCAGAACAGAAAGCCCTGTTCCCTGTCAGTCACCTTGAAATTACCTTAAATCTCACATACAGCAGGATAAAAGGCAGGCAGCTGTTTATTTACTGTAATTCAATAAAGATCTACATTTGGAGAATAAATTATTTAGCAGCAAACCCAACAAGTAACCCACTGATTTCTGAAATAAAAGGAAGTCACACCTGTACAGATCTCTGTTTCAGATGACTACAAAGGTTGTCTCATCCAGACTCTGAGCCTTTGGGATGTTCCCAGGGCTGCAGCTGGGATTATGCCAAAGTGTCTCATTCTGGATACTGTTATCACTGAAGGGAAACTTGTATATCCCATCTCTCTGTGGGCTGATCCCAGTTCAAAGCTTTCCCTGGGATCATTCCTGGGACAGGCAGGCAGAGGCTGCTGTCTCCTCTGCTCCCCAGGCATGGCCATGGAAAAGCTGCTCTCCCCCAGAGCCAGACCCCGGCACTCCTCCTGCTCACTGAACTAAAAACAAAAAAAAATGTTCATCCCCAGCAGAAATTCCCTCCCCCTTGGTAGGGCAGAGTTCAACCCCCAGCAAGATGTTCCTTCCCAGACACAAGGCTCCATACTCATGGATCTGCTCACAGCTCTGAACACAAACTGGCATTTAAATCTTTGGACATTTAAACACTAAGAGATTTTAAAGAAAGAAAATAATTAGATCATTAATAAAATTCATTCATTCATTATTAAATCAAGAAGATCTGTATTTCAATTTAATTCACACATGCATCACTTCTGAAAGGAGGTGGCAAATAGAGGTGATTTTTGTGCATGTTGATGAACAGTATTTTTATATGGGCAACATCAAAACTACTCTGTTGTACTAAAATAGCTGTTTCTTTTATAGAATCATGGAATGGACTGGGGGGAAGGGATCAAGGGATCTAAAAGCCCATCCAGTCCCACCCCCTGCCACAGGCAGGGACACGTTCCACTATCCCAGGTTGCTCCAAGCCCTGTCCAACCTGGCCTTGGACACTTCCAGGGATCCAGGGGCAGCCACAGCTTGCTCTGGGCACCCTGTGCCAGGGCCTCATCACCCTCACAGGGAAGAATTTCTCCCAAGAATCCCATCTATCCCTGCCCTCTGGCAGTGGGAAGCCACTCCCCGTTGTCCAGAGTCTCTTTCCATCCTTACCTGTGGGAAGTCTGTCTTTCCTGTACAGGACACTGACATTCATTTCCATGAAGCATTTACAGTTTGTGAGCACTAATGGATAACTGTATCCCCTTGGAACCCTAGCTTGCTCTTAGTATTCCCTATCAGGTAATATCACCTTCCTCTAATATTCCCTCTTCAATGGCAAAAGCTGAGAGAGGCTGTAAACAAAGTAAGCAAAAGTTCATGTGGATCTTTCTGCAAAGTCATCTCGTGTTTATTTCAGAACACAGATGCTCTCCCATATTCCATTTGCATCCTGACTGTCAGGGGCACAATTCAGGAAAGAGGTTTCAGTGTAGTGACAGTGAAATATCCCACATCTTGGGGAATATCAAGAAGAACAAAGAGCCAAACCATAGGTAACACACAGTGCAGTAGTCAGACTCTTCTGGGCCCTAAGAAACCAGTGGGGTACTTCCCCTAAATAAATTACAGTGTAATAGCAGCAGGAATTGCACATGAATTTGCGTTTCTGAGGTGATTAAGAACCATTTGAGTAGAATGATGAGAATCTATTTCCCATGGGGAAGAAACGCAGGAGCAGCCTGAGCCATTGAACCAATCTCTTTGGAGGAAGCTTTTCCCAGCACTGGCTGCTCTCCAGCACTGGCACTGTGACAAGAAGCATCTCTGGTTTATACACAGACCCCCTCAACACAAGCACCCTCTGACAGGCACCTTGCTCTCCAGGTAGACACAAAAACTCTCACAATGATGGTAAACACACAACTTGTGAAAGGGAAGGTGAAAGCAGCTCCTGGACACAGCTTCTTAATCCAAAGGAAATGGCTGGGAAGTCTAATGAGTCTCTAGGAAACACAAACAAGTCTTGCTTTAAAGTGCTGGAGTCCCCACAATCCCAATTAAATAACTGGTAGATGCAAATTAAAGAACTGAGTGTGTCTCCCAGAAAGCACTCACCAATAGCCTTTAGAAATCAGGGTAAACAACTGGTAAAACATAGGAGGGAGGGATTTTATGGGTCAAACCCCAAGTACTTAAACCTCAGATAATCAGCTGGCACTGAACAATATAAAAGCAAACATTCCCCACAGGAATGACTCCTCACCAAGCAGTGATTGGCATCACTTGGTCAACCAGCACAGAGCCTGAGCAGCTCCCAGCTGACCAAGGCTCTGCCTAGCCCGTGTCCTGCAGGGAAGGACAGGCAGATCCCTCTTGCTGACCATTTGGGTGTCAGGAAGGACACTCAAGCAGTAATTTCTACAAGAAGATAATGCAGAATCATGTAAAAGCTCTTCTTATCTCTTCCCTCTTTCACCAAGTCACAGCCAAAGCTCCACAGGCAATATGGGCTCAAGGACATGAGACCCATGTCTTTTACTACTTGCAACCACAACACCACCACCATGTCCCAAAGAATGGCCTGCAGGGCAGCCAAAGCAGGTGGGCAGGGATACCAGGGAGCAGCAGAAAGTACCACAAAGCACCTGCAGGCAACATAAAATGGTTTGGGTTGGAAGGGATCTTAAAGCCCATTCCCTTCCACGTCCTGCCGCAGGCAGGGACACCTCCCACTATCCCAGGCTGCTCCAAGCCCCATCCAGCCTGGCCTTGGACCAGGGATACAGGGGCAGACACAGCTGCTCTGGGAAGCTGTGCCAGGGCCTCAGCACCCTCACAGGGAAGGATTTCTTTCTAATCTAATCTTAATCTCTCTTCTGTTAGTTTAAAACCATCCCCCTTGTCCTATCACTACTTTCAGCTGTAAAAAGTCGTTCCCTCCTCTTTAAGTTCTGGAGGGCCACATGGCTGCAAATCCAAACTGGACTCCTACCCCTGTTGTTGATTCAGCCTAACACAAAGGATTACTCCTGGGTGAGGCTTTAAGTAGTTGTCTCATAAAGAAGGGAGGAAAAAATCATCTGCACAGATCCATGGCAGCAGCCCAAAGCTGTAAAGCAGCTCCCAGGGAAATGAAAAGCCACCACAATCCTCTCCCTGCTGCTGAAAGAGCCCCAGACATTTCCTCAGCCACACAGCACTTGCACAAACACAATCCATGCATCCTCTGTGCTCTTGCTATAAGACGGCAAAAATAAAAATAATCACATACATCAGTTAGTGAACTGCTGGCTTGTATGTAGCTGATGAAATGCACACAAAGATGATTTTCTGGTGGCAAGAAGCAAGAATGAGATCATCTGGAAAAGAGAACATGAATATTCTCACAAAATCCTCAAGTTTCAGCACAGAAGCAGTTTGAAAAGGTTTATCCTTGGGTAACAGAAATGTAGTACTGCCATTAGGGTAACAGATGTCACCAAAATAAGACAATAGAGGAGCTCCAGAAGAAAAAATAATAATTTTTTTTAAAATCTTCTTTTCACTCCCCTTTCTAACGATGAAGACACTGAAAATGCAGCTCAACCACACAGCTACATATAGCTGATCCCAATTAATCCTCAGCCTTACCACATCTGTAGCCAGTTCAAATCTGCCCTTTTAGAAGGGCCTGATGCCAGCAGCAAACAGCAGAGTGCCCCTGGGTGTGTGGCTCTGAACATGCTCCCACCACAGGGAGCAGCAAGACACCCTGTGCACAGGAACGAGCTCTGTGTGCACCCTCCAGCCCCAGCACTGCTCTCAGCTGCTCCTTTTCATTCATTAGTGCTTCCATCTTTTAGTTTGGTGTGTGAGTGTCCCCAGTGGGTCACCAGAGCACAGATTGCACTGTGGGCTCCAGTGCAGCTGCTGGCCCTGCTCAATGGAAATGGGATCTCTCTGTCCCACGGGCAGCTCTCCCAAAGCCACCACTCTGAGGTGACAGGGACACACCAGCACAGGACGGCTCAGAGACAGCAGTGGGGACAGGTGTGGGACACACAGAGAATTGCTGGGAGTAGCCACTGCCACTCTGCACCTGTGGCCTTTCCTCTGAAATTTTTAGCTTCCCTTACAAACACTGAGCATCCAACCCAAAGCACTGTCACACAGACACTGCCCAATGCCTGCTCTGAATAACATCTGACTGCTCAGAACCTCCTTTTCCTTCCCAAGGGAGACTCCCCACCCAGACAGCCCTTCCAAAACTGTTCACCCTTTGTGCAATCACCCCAGCAGCCTTAATTCCCCAGGGAATTTCTGTCACTGTTTTTATTTATAGTCTGAACCACATGTGCCACACCAAATTTACAACATGCAAACAAAACACAACCAACTGTGCCAGAGAATTTCAAAGCAAGCAAACCCTTGCACAGAGAGCTGCTCTTCAGGAGACACCTGGAATGTAGAGATGCATTTCCTGCTTGCTTATGAACTAGAAACAACTGACTCTAGAAAGCTGATTTCAAGGCAAATTCATCCAACATGTTATTTAACAGCTCTGTTCCCTCATATTAGGAGCTGTTCCCTATCCCTCTGGGGTTTAGATTTGAACCACTCAGACAGGTTTCTGACCTTGTATCTTGTAATTTGTCAGTGCCAAAAAGCCATTTGATTATTACTGAGTGATGCTCAAAGGAGACTTTGCCCCATGGTACTGTGATGGCCAGGCTGTTCCCATTTTCCATAAGCCTCAACCATTTCAGCTCCTTAATTCTAATGACAGCTTGTTCCTTTCCCATCTGCCACCTCCCTCCCCCTGTGCTAAGGGAGAAATCAGACACCAACAGCAGAGCATACTCTGCTCTTTGGTTTTCAGTACCCCCTAAAATATATATAGAGATAGCTATATAGATATATATGCAGTCAACTGGGACATCACTTATTATCAAGCTACAGATTTTATATGTATTTATACTCACATACACTTACACATTTATGCTTACACATCCAAATGGAAAAGGTATAAATATTGAAGAACATATTTCTGGAAAGACAAGTACTAAATGATATTTTAAAGAGGAAAATTACTCCTGAATGAAAAGAAATAAAACCCTTTTTAAAAGAGAAGCAATACTCCTGCTATTTGGTGGTCAACCGGGGACAGCCTTCACCTGGAGGTTCTGAAGTGGAAGTGCCTATGTCAGTGTTTTCCATCTGGCATAAAAATTAACACAGGGATTAGAAATTAACACAGGGATTGTATCAAGTACTTCAACACAATTCTTTCTGATCCCCATGCTCAGCTTAGATTCAGGCCTTGTCACAATGGCCCAAGCCATGGGGCTGAACAGGTTGTGACTCCCTCACTGTGGGAACCCAGAACATCCCTCTGGCTTGTCCAGAACGGCCAAGACCCCTGCCAGGGGGCTCAGAAGCCCTGGCACAGAGCCCAAAACACCTGTGGGTTTGATTATGACCCGTGGAGCAAATTACCAACCTTATATGAAGATCTGCAAGCCACAACAGTTTAGGTAGAATAATAGTGAAGTTATCATGGGGTGGAAAAGTAGATTTTGGGGTTTCTGGTATGGGGGTTCAGGGGACCAGATGGAGGGAACTGGGCATGTCCAGCCTTTCTCCGACTTCTTCTTGGCCTCCATCTTCTGCTGTGATGTTGGCACTTACAGATTGATTTAGAGTAGAAGCTCACTGTCTAACATAGGTGATGGGTATTGGAAAGTAATTGTAAACATTGTATATGTAGTTTTTAGTATAAAGACATAACACCACCCCGAGGGCAGGCAGAGTGCCTGGAACTGTTCTGCGTGATGGACCTCGGCAGGACAGGAGAAAGAATTTTATAGATAAGAAACAATAAACAACCTTGAGACTGAGAAATGAAGAGCCCTGACTCCTTCAAGCGCCAGGCTGGGAAAAGAGACTTTCGAACTTTTCTCGGGGTCACTCTGATAAGCTAGAAATCCCCACACCTCACGAGTTGCCATTGCCACACGTGATGGCTGTTGGCTCCATAGTGCAGGATTTACCCCTGGAAACCTGTGGCAGGGCTGGACAAGACAAAAACGGCCAAAAACGTGGAGAGCTGGGGAAGAGCCCAGGCTCACTTGCCTGACCTCACCCAAAGCAGCGAGTGCTTCCCCTCACCTTGCTGCTGCAGTTTGTAGTCCGTGGAGTAGGCCTTGCCTATGATGTTCCACACGGGCCGCAGGCACCCGAAGAGCCCCTCGAGGAAGCCGCCGCTGCCGCTGCCCGTCCTGTTGAACTGCACCTTCACATCGTCGCCGGCACCGTTGGTGTCGCCGTCGCCGGGGCTGCGGGTGCCCTGCGGGAGCCCCGGCTCGGGCTCGTCGTGCTCCCGCAGCTGCAGCACGCTGTTCTCGAAGTGGTCGCGGGCGTCCTCGCTGACGCTGCTCAGCACGGCCGCCGTGCCCGGGCTGCTGACGCCCTCCAGCAGCTCGGCCGGCAGCGAGCCCCGCTCCCGCACGTCCTCCAGCAGCTCCGGGGACGGGCGGCTGCCGGCGGCCGGGGGCTCCTCGGGGAACCTCCCCGAGTCCTTGTCCTCACAGAACGCTTTGCCGATGGAGCTGGGAGAGGAAGACAGGCTCAGGCGCTCCTGGGTGCTGGCCATGATGCCGTGAGTGTGCATCAAGGAGACGGCCCGACGGGGTGCTCAGAGCATCTGTAGGACACAACTCACATGTGACATGTGGGCCCAGTAGCTGAAACAAGAGGAAAAAGAACAACTTTCAATTTTTTATTGAAGTATTTTCACTACGTGCGGTTTCACTGAGGTGAGCTGATAATTAACTAGACTTTCCAGACAGCCGCTGATACTTGGTAAATAATTACTGCCCTAAAAGAAACAAATAAATGGTTCCAACAGAAACTCCACTCAGGCAATACTCTCGGTAACATACTGCAGGAATTGCCCAGGAAACAAACACCACAATTTTAAACAAGAGCCGAAAGGTCAAAATCGTGAAAGATTCTTTGCAGAGAGTTCCCATAGCATTCCCAGACTGAAGCTGGCCCCAGCTCAGCTGTGGTTTGAGTCCCACCACTGTTCCTGGGCCTGGCACAGCCCACAAGCTCAGGATCCCTCTGCAAACCCTCAACACAAGGTGTTAAAGAAACAAAGCCCGGTGATACAGGTACCTTGATTCCACCAAGGGGTGGTTTGTGGCTGCTCCCTCAGAGCCCCACCTAGTTATTACCATCTTGGACCTCTGACTGACCCTCCATGCCCATTGTGGCAAGACATGTTCAATTCTCTAACCACATCCAAGCCATCCTCATGAGCAAGTAAAACTTTGAGTTTCACAGAACAGCAGACCCTCCTTGCTGTGCTCCCAGCACTGCTCTCCACTTGCAGGAGCTTCTGGGAGGGTGCACATAAAACAAGAGCTGGGATCCCTTTTAAGAAGTGCCTCCATCACTTGCTCCATGCTCCACTGAGAGGTCTTTTTTCCACAACCCATGGTGGTGCCACCTTCCCACAGAGCCAGGCTGATGGCTGGGGGTCATGCTGCCAGAGCTGCCCACCACAAAAACAGTTCTGGGATAGTCCCTTCTGGAGCAGGAGGCTCTAACACTGGGCCACAAGCAATTAAGTGAATTCAGCTTGCACCACGGAACAAAGTCCAGTTTTAAATTCCATGAGAAGCTGAGAGTGGGGTAAAAAAAATGGCCTTAACAGAAAGTACTTTGTTAAAAAGTAAGATCAGTTACAGTGGGTGCAAATTTCCAGGCTCTGCAAACAGCCATTGGAAGGAAGAAAGAGGTGGCCAGGTAGGACACAGCCAATGGCAAGGGAACAGCTCAGTGCCATGACTCCTCAGGATGAGGTCACTGCAGAGAGGAGAGATAAGCCCTTCAGCCCACAGGATGAAAAGCCCTGGGCTTCAGCCCCTCTCCAGCAGCAAACAGGAACAGCCAGGAACCTGGATTATCTTCCTGTATCCTGCCTGACCACATGGGGCTTGCATAAAAGCTTTATTTAGGTTGTAAACTTTGTTCTTTAAAAGAAAGCAAAACAGCAAGTGAGGCAGAGGTTGCAGCACAGCCCAAACCAGTAGAGGAGCTGAATCAGACCCATATGGGAAGCTGGAGAGTTGGTTATTCCTGACCTGCTGGTGACCAGCACTACAATGACAATTCAGCAGCGTGGGAAGCTGCAGTGTGACCTCAGAGTACAATTACTACTAGCAGCAGTTGTTCTATTATCACAGACTTTGTCAGAGATAAGAAGATGCTTCAGACCTGAACAGAATTTCAGAAAAACATCAGGCCAGGCCCAACTCAGTGTTCCTGGGCACACCCCAGCTCATCACCTAAAGTCAGGGAGTGATAAGTGATTGTTTAAACAAGAACAAAATGTGACCACTGCACCTACAGAGAAATCTGCTTTTTGTAACATAGAATATTAAGCAATGCAAATAAAACATCAGCCAGGTATCCTGCAGGAAACTCCAATGTAAAGGCTAGAATTTGAGGTAACAGTGTCCCAAAGTGTCTCAAATTTAAGCCTTGGAAAGTGCATTAAGGATCAAATCAGACTTGGAGGATAAAATAACTTTCCTATTATGCGACTCTCAAGAGTACACTACTACAGTGTAAGGTTTTGCTTTTACATTTTTACAGTTTTCTGCCTCTGGAATGTTTGATTGTGAAGGTTTTACAGGGAATGAAGAGCTTTTCACTACACAGCTCAGCCAAGAACAAAGCCCCAGATTCAGGGATATCAGGTCTGTTTTCCCAGGTCAAATTGCTTTCCCCAACACTGAGATGTTTCAAATAAAAAAAGCTTTCAGGCACAGTGTCCTGCCACTTTACATGCCCCTTTATGTGCTTCATGGGGAGAGAAGGCATATAAAAGTTATGGAATTATTCCAAACTGGCATGATACAGCCTTATTTAGGCCCTTACATAAGCAGCCTAATTTTCAGAGGTGTAGCAAACTCATTGTTTGGAGAGCATGAGACAGCAGCACTCCTTTTAAAACAACTTCCTCTCAAGCCAACTTGAAGCAAAGTGGTGTAGAAACCCTGGGAAGGGGAGAAAGTGGTTTCTGCCACACCACATCAGTGCTGACTTGTTGGGGGAAATTAATTTTTTTAATTCTCTTCTATTGCAGTAAATTCTGCAATGTGCAATCTCTTGCTTTAGCAAAATATGATTTAATCCAATGAAATTAGGCTGGTTTAGATCTCACCATCTCTTGAAACAAGAGAAGAAGAGCATTTCCCAAGTTTTATTGTCATAGCTTATGCTATTCTTTCAGTCATAGTACCAAAAGGCTGAGATTTTTCATGTTGACCTCTTCCCAATAAAAGAAAAGGAAAATATAAACATTTTCTTGAAAGTTTTAAGTTTCATTATATCCAGACTGCCATTCAGGATGTACTCATAAGGGCATGTAGTGCCAGGACAGGGTGGAATGGCCTTCAGCTGAAGGAGGGCAGGTTTAGTTTAGATATTAGGAAAAAATTGTTCTCTTTGGGGGCAGGGAGGCCCTGGTACAGGCAGTGTCCAAGGCCAGGCTGGACAAGGCTTGGAGCAACCTGGGATTGTGGAAGGTGTTCCTGCCCGTGGCAGGGGGTGGGACTGGATGATTTTTCAAGTCCCTTCCAACACAAAGCAGCCTGGGATCCCATGTCTATGATCTGCATGTGCATCATGAGCTTTCCCAGGGAAAGGCCTGGCCAAGGCTGTGCTATTTCTATCTGAGTGATGCTCCTGCTGCAGCAGCCTCCCAGTCAAAAGCTGGAAGCTCCATGTGTGGGAGGACTCTGCATATTTAAGAGATTATGATTTCACAAAGTGCTGCTGCACACACAGACTTGAAGGCAGACCCTCGGATTTGAACTGTTTTGATGAGTTCATGCACTCTGCACTAACAAATTTCTTTTCTGTCTGGAAGGAGATTCAAGGCTCGAAGTAATTTTGTACAATCACAACTTCTCATAAATGACTCCATTTCTATCAAAAGTATTTTTTCCAGGCAAAATCCCATCACCCTCAGACAAGAGGAGCATGAAATGCACCTCTTCTCAAAAGAGTGAGGCTGCTCCTCAACATGTCAGACAGCCCAAAATTCAGTCTGAAACTATAGATAAGTGAGAGTTTACCTGAATCACCAAGTGGGTGAATGAGCTACCAAGGCACACTCTCACCTTGCCTGATATTGTGCCTGTCCCAGGAAAGAGCCATCCAGGAAGTGTCCTCACACTCCCCCAGAGCCACCAAAGCATGTGGCTGCCTATACAAGTTCAGTATTCCTAAGAGTGTCAACACAATGGTCAGGTTTGCAGCTGAGTTAAGCCAATGCCTTGCGTGAACCATTACTGAAGCTCCTCCTTTGAAGTTTCTCCATTAAAGACCTATGCTAAAAATTGAGTGGCAAATCAGACACAGCATTCCAGACAGCACACAAACCAAACCAAACAAAAAGTCAGTGTGCTGGAAAGGTGGTGTAAGCTCAGAGGCCACCATTCAGCCTCGTGACAGCCCAAGTCTCCAGTAACACTAAGTTTGCTTCCTTGAACGCTATTTCTTTCTTAGCCAGTGAAGCATAATCTCTGCTTGCACTTCCAACATGCAAAAGGAATAAAAGCAATTGTCTGATCCATGTCTAGGGCTGAAGCAGAGCTGCTGGCAGAAATTATCCAGCTGGGACATGGAACTACCACAGACAGAGGAGATTCCTGCCCAGATCACTACTTACAGCCAAGCCCTGCAGTCCCCTTGCTTCTTCCTGGTACTCAGTGTGATTTCCTCCTGGCTGCAGTGGGCACAACAAGGTTACTGCACATCTCACTGATAACACAATTGGAATTTATGGGTGTGTCATCTCAACTAGTGGCTTGTGACAAAGCTTTAAAAATGTTCTAAAATCTAACAAAACCACAAAAAGCATATCTATAAGGCACAGACATCATGTTCTCCTGCCCCTTGTGACTCTCTCTCAGATTCTACAGGGAATTTTTACAACACATTGATGCACAGTCCTCTCCCATTGCTGTACAACTCCAGCACAGGAACAACTGAGAGTTGCTGAATTGGCAAGTCCCAGAGCTTTTGTTGTCACTTCTGACCTTTGGGGTTTGAACTGTGTGGTTTTACTATACAGGATTTCAACAGATTTTCTTTCCTGGTCTCCTGATGAAGAAAATATTACATGAATGGATTAGATACTCCTGCCACATGTTTTACCTTACTTGGAATATAGGCTTGTGTTTTGCATAGTTGCTTTGAAAACAAAAAGTAGAAACAGATTTATTAATAGAGAATGAGTTACACATCACCAAAAGGCAAACTCTTTGTTTTCAGGAGGGTTGAATTTTTTTTAAAGTTACGTTATTACATTAATTAATTACATTACATTTTTATAAGTTGCATTATCTGTTTTGTTAGGTTGTAAAAAAAGAAATCCCACTATGAAGCATGCCCACATTAACTTGGTATAACCCAGCCCAGGCTATAGGAAAAGCTTTAAGCCAACTATGGAGTAGCCCAAGCAAAAGCCTGGGTGTTTTTAAGCCATCAATCTCCTTCTCAGGACACTGCTCCTTCAAGGAAGAACATTTCTTCCCTTCTTACTCCCACATGAATGCCCAGCCACAACCCAGCCTTATCTTTAAATAGTACAATTACATAGCCAAAACATCATCAATGGCTGATAAAAGAAGTGAAAATTCTTCATCTGACCCAGCTGAGACTT